TGTGCGCGGCGCTTCGCGCCGCGTACTATACTAATCTAACTCCAGAACGGCAAGTTGACAACAGGTAAGTTGAAGTAGACGACCTCCTAACCACAATTTCTATTTTTCGGGAAATTCAAGAAACCTGCAATTTGATAATCGGGTTTTTCTGCAATAAGTTAAATGATAGTACAGATTAGGAAAATCTACAGATATAAATCAACAACACTTCAAAATAGAGGAAAAAAATGAATTTTGCATTTATTAAAGTATATTCCACTGCGTGTCCTAATTTCCCACCCATAAAACCCGATAACCACCGTCATCGTGGGAAAACACGCAGGTTGTAGGGATTAATGAGTGGGGCTACATAAGCTACTGTTGCCTTCGAAAATGTACCTCAATGTGTTCATTTGAATCAAAATTTATAAACGTTTCCGCCTGTTAGGTAAGATAATATTTGTAGCAATATGATTTACTTTTGTGGCCTTTTGTCTGACTAGCTAGATCTTAAAGGCAAAAACGGTGGGTAGAAGACGATTATTTCGGAAACATTACAAAACAGCCTACTTAAAAGTAGTTTCCTAATGCACCAGTAGATGCGATTCACAAAACTGCAAGGCAGTATTCTTCAGTTAAGTACTATTTCCTTCTGTTCACACATGCTTCCTGTGGACCATGTGAAGGTTAAAACTGTAACATATTTTTAAACTCATTGCTGGCCACATAGTAAGCAAAATACCTAACAAAAGAGGGTGAGTTCCCTGTTTTCTGCCGTCAGTTGCCGCATTGTTCGCCAAATCTTCCTTCTTTGATTTGCGGTTGCGCTAAAAACCCGATGTAATACTACGACTTATTGAATTAGTCAGTCTGTTGTTTATCCGCTTATCGGGAAAAAAATTGTTTTTGAAGAAATAAAAGACCTCCCAGCATGGACGATTGCGAGTAGACCCGTGGCTGGGTGTCATATAGCTTGGTCAATTTCAGGTTATATAGAAGTGATCAACTAAGTGGAGATAGTGATTTTGTCTTAATGCTTAGTCAGTATATAATATTTCCATTTTATGATTGCGTTACTAGTATTGAATTTACCTTCCTTTAAACATGCAACTATTTCCTCAACGCGTCAACAGCAGAGACTTCTTTAAGTTGTCATTCAAACTTAAGTCTATTGTGGCAAAATCCCTAGCATGGCGAGAGGTTTTGAATGACCGAGTCAGTTTGGCTCTTGCTCTATTTCAGTTGATTGCCTTCTCGGACTACAACTGCGGACAATGAAGTTATTTGGGTGCTTAAATTTTTAACACTGTGTGTGCTTTAGAGAATGTGTATATTGCAATTGAAATTGCATCTAATATTTGCATGACTACCGAAAGGCCATGCGCAATCACTATTTTGGAATATGTCCGTTCCGCAACTGACTTGCCAGCGAGAGTTTGATAGGTGTGCTTACGTAAATCGCAAGACCTATGCCGAGTGTCCCCTTAATCATGGCCATGTTATGCGAGCATGCCTAGCACGAAATGATAAACCCACACGTTTTTGCATCATGTTGTGATACTGGGACACTTTGCAAATGGCCTTGTCTACAGCATAATTAAGCTGTTCAAGAGCCTTTTTTCTAGACAAATGTGTAACGGTGTGTATTAGACATGCGCTTATAAATAGAAATTGGACTGAGATGCGTGTACAAAAGGATAAATCTACTGTCAATATACTTGAGGTTTTTCATCTACGTCACAAAAGGGCTAAGGTCCGGTGCTTGAATGACAGTTCACACTTTGTTTATATTCAGTAAGATTTTATTTTCTGCACATGGTCAGCGTTACTTATGATAGATATTGCATGCTGAACAACATTCATTGCATGTTGTTTGCAGGAACTGAATCGATTTAATGCATTTTAGCCCTCCATGAACCCATGTTTTTTCATATGCGTAACCATTTGGCCGTTCACCTTACTTAGGAATTGCCTATTTACAACTATTACTCGTACTCTGATTTCATACCAGTCATACTTCTGTGAATATATTAGCAATAACACTTTTCCACCGCGCATATTACTGTGGTGCATAGTATATGAAGTATAAGTTACAATTCAGTGCTCCATGATTATAGTACTTAAGATTAGCCAGAAGACGCATATATAAATTCCATTTATATACCTTTAAACGGGTAATAGAGATCTGCTATATTCATTATTCAACCAGTGGAAGATGGACCATCCTTCTGGGGATATACCCATTACAACTGTACAGCCTCATCCAAGCCTACCATTTAGACAAGACACCAGAAAGAGAGTATCTCAGGTTTTGAGAGGCGCAGTTCATACTGTAATCTTTACTCTATACAAACCGAACCTCTTTAACCAACGTACCCTTAGCCTGAAATTTATAGTAGCAAGAACAAGTACAAATTTCAGTGGTTTTGATCAAGCGTTTGAATCACAACGGAAATCTTAGCTATAATAATTAGGTTCTGATCTAGAAAGCTGAATGCACGTAGGAAATTAACTGTAGACGTACGCTCTCTTAAAATGGCTGTCAAGCAATAACAGTGCGCTGTTTTCTGGAAGCTGTAGGTAGGTGCGAAATTTTATGGTGCAGGCGTCCTTTTTTTTGAAAACTGCACGTTCACTTTTCAAAAGAGATCTAAATCAGAGGCTCAACCTGCCTGAAAGTAATGAAAATATGAAGACAAGCTGGTGTGACGTGGGAATAGGATTCCACCGTACTACAGGTTTTCTCATGCTGCAGCTCAGGGGTATAAGGGTTTGTGTTCAGGCTAGCGTTACTAACAAGATGTTTAAGGAGTAAACTTTG